CCTTTTGTTTTAGCATTTAGCTATCATTCTGCTACTGTTAACCTTTAGTTAGCCTTTTGTTTTACTGTTTAGCTATTATTCTGCTACTGTTAACTTTTAGTTAGCCTTTTGTTTTAGCATTTAGCTATCATTCTGCTACTATTAACCTTTAGTTAGCCTTTTGTCATTAGCATTTTGCTACCATTCTGCTGCTGTTAATCTTTAGTTAGCCTTTTGTCACTAGCATTTTGTTACCATTCTGCTACTGTTAACCTTTAGTTAGCCCAGGGATCTGCACCCTGTGGCTCTGGGGCCACATGTGGCTCTTTGGTCCCTCTGCAGTGGCTCTTTGAAAATGTGACCAAGCATAACAGAATTTTTTTGTTTGTTTGTTTTTATACTCCCAACAGAAATCAATGCAAAAACGTGATCAATACTACTGATACAAAAAGTAAAACACGTTAGCTCATGCTAGCCTTTTGCTTACTTAAATAATCCAACTTCTTTCTCTCGAATCCATTAAAATTACCTTTAAAGAATTTGAAGACTATATAGTAATAAGAATTAGAAAAAAAAAACCTGAATAGTTCAGTTATACTAGTTTTTAATGAAACTCAGGATAAACTATATACGTTATTGTTTCTTGTTTACATGAATAAGGTCTTTTCATTTGTCCCGATGTGTCAAATAATAAATAAGATTCACAATATATTTTTTAGTTTTATAATGCCACCTCCATTGGCCGTAAAGGTGCCCAAAAAGGCCATAAAAAGGCCCACGGTCCACCAGTTGATAATCACAGTTGTAGCTTGTTTTGTAGCTCTGGACGCATTTTATTAGTGCGCCAAGTAGCACAAATGGCTCTTTTTATCGTAAAGGTTGCCAAGCCCTGAGTTAGCCTTTTGTCATTAGCATTTAGCAACCATTCTGCTACTGTTAACCTTTAGTTAGCCTTTTGTTATTAGAAATTAGCTAACAGTCTGCAACTTAAAAATTTTAGTTAGCCTTTTGTTAGCACTTAGTTACCATTTTGCAACTTTTAACCTTTTGTTATTAGCATTTAGCAACCGTTTTGTTACTGTTAACCTTTAGTTAACCTTTTTGAGTTAGCCCTGTGCGATTTTAGGTTTTAGTTTGTTGTAATTTATCATCGTCCATCACCTGAAGGCAAAGACAGATAATGTTTTTGCTCATGTCTGTCTGTTAGCAAAATATCTCCTGAGCAACGTGCAGAAAACGTTCATTAGTTTTTTCGTCTACAGCTGATGATCTTTTTGAGTCAACCCAACAGATTTCACATCTTTGGTCAGAGCTTTGTCCGTAAGCTTTTGTTAACTTTTTAAAAGTAAAAACTGTAAATAAAGAGCTTTTGTTTTGTTCTGTTTGTAGCTTTCTGTCATGAACGACTGCTTCAACACGTCTCCTGGTTATCTTTGCAGTTAAAGGAAAAAAAAAACTGAATTCAGAGTTTTGTCTCCACCAGAATCTGACTTTAAATGTTTACTAACAGCAGAGGAGGGAACAAAGAGACGAGTCAGTGGATGAAAGGAGGGATGAGAGGAGGAGACCAGGGAGTTTTGTGAGTCAGGATGTGGCTGATTTATACCTCCGACAGGCAAGGTCACCGCAGAGACGTCAGAACGAAGGGACGAGAGACCCTCCCTGGGCGAGGGGTTTCCAAACACACAGCTGTGGATTCACACGGACGCAAATATCTACCGTGCTTCTGATTCACACAGACGCTTTCTGTTTCAAGAAAGAACTTTTCCAGAAGCTCCAGGGTTAAATCTTTTGCACTGAAAGCTTTTATCTTTGGGACAAATGATCAGGATTAAAAACGAGGAGAAAAAAAAAAAAAAAAAAAACGGCCCAAAGTCACTTTCATCCTGCCAAACGTTTAGCAAAACTTTAAATTTACTGAGAATTTGAAACAAAAGCCAAACATTTCCTGTCTAAATATGATGAGATTTGGAAGAAAGGGAAAGCGTTGCTCTGATAATAAAGCCCTAATAAAGAGAAATACTTCATGTAATTTGATTTTTATTGAACTTTTAAGGTTTTGACCCACAAAAGAACATCAGCAGAGACTTGTGACCTGAAGTTCAGCTGTTTGAAACGTAAATATTTTGCTAAAAAGCCAAAAAACAAGGATCCAAATAAGCTAAACAACTATTAAAGGATGCTCCTATAGATTTATTTTACATAAAGTAACATTTATTATTGCAATCTTTAATTTAACCTGCAGGTGTTAAAATAAAAATATATATATTTAAAGCAGCTTATTAAAATCTATGGTTTTTATTTGCTCCTGGTTGAAGTTTACTGAGTCGTTCCTCAGAAAGAGTTTGTTTTAAAAATGTTTCTTTAAAAATATTTTTTACATGAGATGTTTGAGGACGCCTGGAGGTCCTCAGAACCCGGTTCTGGTGCCGGACGTACCCATGGGGTTCTGTTGGGTCAGGGCGTCTTCGTGTTTGAAGGAGTGTCCGGAGAACTGCGAGCTGTGGTGTGTGGGAGTGTGACCGTAATTACCGGCTCCTTCGAAGGCGACCGCGCTGTAACCTGCAACACACATACAAACACACACACGCACACACACACTGGTAAACACACACTTAAACACACCACAACAAATGAACTTATCAATAAAAATGCAGCAACTAACACCGAAGTCAAACAAATCTGCAGAACATTCTCTCATATTTTGGATTTTTTCACTCGTTTATAGCATAAAAACCAATATTTAATGTTTTTACACAAAAAAACATTTACAAACATCATCCTGTGATTGTCTTTTCTTTTTACAAGCAGTGACATATTTTAAAAAATACACATTTTTAGATCCTGTTAGTCTTTTCTGCACCTTTAAAATTTGTTCACCGCTGCAAATAAAGACAGCATGATTTATTATTAAATAAAAACTAAACATAGAAAATAATAAACTGTAGATATCAGTTGTTTTAAGTGTTTCGATGAAGACCAAACTCTTTTAAAGAAGGAAAAATGTCTTTTAAAAGCTGTTTTATTAAGTTTTAACACTAAATTCTCTCTATACAGGTTATTATAATTAATAAAAATTCAACAAAACAACTAAAATTATTACAGTGATCATAAAATTTTAACCAGTTCACTGGTTTGCTTCTAAATGTTTTCTAAAAAAGGCAGAATCCTTCTTTAGCATCAGCTTTTATAAAGTTTTTATGTAAGGAAATCATTTATTTTTAACTCTTTTAAGTCTGACATTTCATATTTTTGTAATTTAGAGTTTTAATTTGTTTGTTTGCTGCAAAATGTTACATTTTCTGATTGATTTCTGAGAAAATAATGTTTGATGATAAATTATTAGCTGAAACTAGACGTTTTATTTATTCCAAGTGAAGCTACAACGAGCTGCACGCGGCCCTGGAGCCGCAGGTTGAGACCCTGATTTTAGCTGATGTGTTGCAGCTTTAGCTGTTTATCTTTTGGCCGCTCGCTCCCTCGGGGGTCGCCGCAGCGAGAGACCATTTTACGCCACCTGGGCTCGAACCTGCGACCTCAGGACCACGCGCGCCGACGAGGGCGGAGCTGAAGTAAAAATATTAAAATATTCACCTGCTGAACTTTTGTCTCAAAACAACTCAAGTTTTTTGTTTGTTTGTTTTTAGGGACGAGTGGGTGTCGCCCGGGATGGTCCCCGACTCACGGCTTCATCGCCTGACCTTTGGGGTCAAACGCCACGTAAATCACCCACGTGCACAGGCGCGCACGTGCACGCTCCATTAATTAAACCTGCAGCACTTTCTCTGAGAGCCGGAGGAAAAAAACTCATTAAACGTCTTCATTTATCTTCCACCCACCCCTGACTTCACTCTGTCTGCATGTGTGTGTCTTTAAGAGTGTGTGTGTGTGTGTGTGTGTGTGTGTGTGTGTGTGTGTGTGTGTCGCCTCCTTGAAGTCCAGCACTGAAGTGACAAGCGATGAGGTCAGTTCGTATTCAGCTGGAACACTTATAAAGTCTGGAAAATCCCCTTGGAATACCCCTCGGAAATCTGTTGAAAATTAAACTTTAAAAACAAAATTAAAGTTTTGATTCGTTCGTTTTTCTCTGAACGTTATCAACCATGATTTAGACCAGGGGTTCTCAAGCCATTTGGGTCTGGGGACCCCTTACAAGAGCGAAAAAAATTCCAGGGACCCCCTCATAAACCCCATGCTGTTTTAAAAGATAATTTATTTTCATTTCAACCCCTAAATGCCACGAGAATATATATTTTTATTAAGTTTATTATGTTTGTTTTATTAGTTCAATGTTATACATGCATTTTTAAAAATAAAAACCAAATTAACATTTTAGTAAAAATTTTTGAGGACCCACAAGATTCCTCTCACGGACCCCCATTTGAGAACCTCTGATTTAGACGTCAGAAAATTACGTTTAAGATTAAACGAATCATTTTTATGGTTTTAATTATGAGGAGAGGGGGCGGAGCTGCAGACGTTCTTGTGTTGTGAGTTACTCTCAGCTACTACCACTCCAAATTTCACCTCGATACCTGTAAAATCCACTGATTTATGCCAAAAACCAGAGGCGGCCAGCTTGAGTCCTAAGAGTTTAATTAATCCGTCCAGTCGTTCCTGAGATATTTTGCTAACACAGAAATGGGCTAAATTCAACGTTTCTGCTCCAGATTATAAAGCAAAGCGTCCTCTTCAGGATTATTTTAATCCCCTTTTCGTGGCGACCCCGCAGCTCCGCCGGGTGCGTTTGAGCGCGGCCGCCCAGCCGTGGAGAGGAGCAGATAAAAGAGGTCAAAGGTCGGCGGGGCTCTTTGATAAAAACGTTTTTCCTGAATTATCTGCCCGAGGAGCCCGTTATTACTAATTAATCAGGTTAATCGCCCTGAGACGAGCGAGGATCAGGTTCAGATGTTTGAAAACATTCGTCTTCTTGTTGACCTTTGACACGTTACAATACGCCACGTTTTAAACTTGTTCTTTTTTTTAAAATACACAAATACACGACTTCATGATATTTACACCTTAATGTAGATCTGCACTTAATTTAATCATAAATTCATAACAAAAACATTAAAAATAAAGCTCATTCTTAATGATTTTAATTCTTTAAATTGGCTCATTTAGCAGAAATAATTTCAGATTTAATTTTGTTCATACTTCCACACGTGTGAAACAGAAACAGCAGCTGGTAATAATCCAGGTGATGAATTAGTGAGATTAACAGATTTGCATTTAACAATAAACACAATCTTTAGCCTCGTCTGTTTGTTTTAATTATCCTGATAAACTGAAGAAACTGTTAATGAGAATTATAAAAACTTCCTGTTTTAGGCTCATCAAATAGTTGGATTAATTTATCCAAGAAAGTAAGTTAATTAAAAAGGTTTTTAACATGAGAAATGAAATGTTAGATTTATAAATTAGTTAATTTGATTAATCTTTATGAAGCAAATTAAAAAGCTTAAAAATGGTGAAAAACGAATAAATTTAAAGAATCAATCTGATGAAATGATTAAAGTGAGTAAAGTTTTATTTATGACGTTATTTAGACTGTTAAAACATGTAAAACTTTATTTTTTTAAGATGAAATCACTTTAATTTAAATATCTTTTCTGTTTTTGTTCATTAAAGCAAGAAAATGTTGCACTTTTAAGATATTTTAAATCAACTTAAGGGTTTAAAAGACAAAAAAACAGTTTTGATCTTTTGAAGTTTCTCATTAATCGCAACAAACACTTGTTTGTTTACACTGAGCGTGTACCCGCATTTTAGAGTTCAACTCTATCAAAAAGCACCGTTTGTTGTTGAAGTTCAGGATGAACTTTTCATGTTTGATTTTATGGTTTATAATGAGTTTATTTAATAAAGAGTCTCGGTGAATGATGCTTTAATATTAAAGAGAAAAAAAATCATGTTTTCAGTTTTTCTACCTCGTTGAAAGAAAATCCTTCTTTAAATATCTGGATGATTGTCTTGATTTAATGAAAATATTAGGAATTACGTAAAAAAGCTGATTTTTTCTGGGTTTATTAAATATTTTAGAGGCGTGTGATGAGTTACTGAACTGAACCAAACTTTAATGATTGTGTTTTTTGTCGAGTTTAAAGCTTTAATAAAGTTTTCTGTGACTGAATGTTTTAATTCTGACTTGTTTTATTCATTTGATTGTTTTTTTAACTTCACCAGGTGAGTTTTGGAAAACAGATGTTGAAGCAGAGACCTTGTGGTTAAATTAAATAAATTGTTTTCTCAGGATTTGAGTTTTGTTAAGTTCAGATCATTTCAGCTGATCCAGACTCTCGACCCGCACACCAGACGTACCTGTCTGGTTTCGGGGGGCCGGCTGTGGGTCCATGCAGCTGCTCAGGTAAGACGGGCTGCTGAACATCCTGCCGGGGGCCTGGTGGTGGTGGGGGCCGCTCACCGGCGGGGGCTGACTGGGGGTCGCCGGCGCAGGAGGAGGAGGAGGCGGCGCCCCGAACGCCGCCCCGTACCTGCAGGCCCCGGTGCCCGTGAACTGACCCGAGAAGTGCACGGTGAAGGCGCTGAGGCCGCAGTGGGGGTCTGCGTCGTGGTGGAGGGGGTCCCCCGCGGCCCCCCAGCTGGGCTCCTGCTTGATGAAGGAGTGGGCCCCCAGGGAGGTGTGGGGGGCGGCCAAGGAGGGGTACGGAGAGGCGGCGGCGGAGTGGAAGTCCAGGACAGGAGCCCACTGGGGGGCCGTGGAGACGGGCAGGGGGCTGGGGCCCGCCGGGACCGGGGGCAGCAGGGAGTTCAGGTCGCGCACCTCCGAACTCATCGTGGTCCCCAAAAATAAAATATAAAATAAAACAAGAAAAAATCCTTCAGAGGAGGAAAAGTTTCTGCTCCAAACAGGAAGTAAAGTTCATGTCAGAGAAGAGGGGCAGCGGTCAGCTGGGCTCTGCAGCAGGACTCAGGTTCTGGCTCAGAGGGTCCATTCAGGGGGGACCCGGGAGTTCTGCTGGAGCTCTCTGTGAATGGAGGAGTGAGGAGGAGTATTCCTCTTTTCCCTCCACTCCTCTTCTGCTGTGGATCTGTGAGGAGGGAGGAGGAGTCAGGAGGTGATGGAGGGGACACACACACACACACACACACACACACACACACACACACACACAC